GAGGCAGCCCCCTCCACCTTGCGTGTGAGGTTTTATCGCTCAAACCCAGCCCTGCAGACTGAGCACCACCCAGGCTACAGAACCCCTTTGCCGCGCTTCCCCGGGTCAGGTAGCATTTGGACTGGGGATTGCCCACGGCCCCAGACGTTTATCCCAGTGCCGGGCGCTCTGCCATATGGTGTCTGCACCGAGACACGGAACCACACAGTTTTTCGAGCCCCGCATACTGAGTCAACTCAGTTGGGCTGCCTTGGCTTGGTTTCCTCTGGAGTCTGAGCCAAGGGATTTGCTTTCTTTGACCTATGGGCAGAGAAAATGTCACCAGTGGCAGGTTAGTGGTGCTTCCTTCTCCCATGGCCAGTGGGCCTGGGGGATGACAGGGAGGGCAGATGCTGAGGCTCCATGGGCTCGGCCCTGCTGGTGCGATTAGGTGACAGGTGTGGCTGCCCTCAGCCCCTGAGGGCTGGGGGGTCAGGGGAGGAGCAGTGCAGGCCAGCTGGGTACTCATGGCTCTGGAGAGGACCCATTGACCCACCACTCTCAGCATATGGGCTTGTCTTGGCCTCAGGAGGGCCCAGACGAAGTCAGAGTTGGGGAAGAAGAAAATCTGTTACGGAAGGAGGAGGTGGGAGAGAAGTCAGCTGTAAGGCATCCTCCAGCAGGCCTTTTGAGGGAAAATTCACATCTGTGGGGCTATCAGATGACTGCTGCCTTCCAGGGGACACATGAACCCATTGAGGCAATTAAGAGCACTCTTTGGCAGGGCAGGCCCAGCTTATGTGACCATCCCTGCCAGGACAGAGCTGCTCTTGTCTCCTACAGGAAACCTTCTCTGACCTCCTCCTTCAGCAACTTCAGGATCCTGTTCATAATGTCCTCACCATTCCTGGTCATTCCAGAACTTGCTTGTCTATCTCTAGCACCACAGCCAAACTTCACGAACTTCCACATGAGGCCCAGGAAACTGCATTTGTAACTAACAACACCCCCCATTCCTAGAGACGATGCTAGCATATGCAGACTTTGGACGACAGTTGCCAACCGTCTTGCCCTAGAACAGCCTCTCCAACAAAAATACAATGTGAACCACATATATAATTGTAAATTTTCTAGCAGCCACTTAAAAGTGTCAAAGAAAACAGGTGAAATCATTTTTAAAAGTATTTTTATTTAACCGGATAGATCCAAAACGTTATCATTTCAACATACAGCCAATATGAAATTTGTTAATGAGATGTTTCACACTTTTCTCGTACTGAGTCTTTGAGACCTGGTGCGTACTTTTCACTGACGACACATCTCAGCTTGGATAGACCATATTTCTTTTTTTCCTTTTTTATTTTTTTTTAAAGATTTTGTTTATTTATTTGACAGAAATCACAAGTAGGCAGAGAGGCAGGCAGAGAGAGAGGAGGAAGCAGACTCCCCGTGGAGCAGAGAGCCCGATGCAGGGCTCCATCCCAGGACCCTGGGATCATGACCTGAGCTGAATGAAGGCAGAGGCTTTAACCCACTGAGCCACCTAGGCGCTCCTGGATAGACCACATTTCAAGTGCTTGACAGCCGCCTGTGACTAGTGGCTGTCACATAGACAGAACGGCTCTAGAGCTGTGGGGTGGGTATGGTCCGCAGGCCAGCAGTTCCAGCATTGCCTGGGAGCTTGGTGGAAATGCATGTTCTCAGGCCCTGGCCTGGATCTACTGAATCAGAGCCTACATTTTCACCTGCTGGCCGGTGCCCCATTTGTGTGTGAAGCCCCATTGTACAGCTAGATTGTGAGCTCCTTGGTGTAAAGAGTAAGATTTAACTTATTTCTTGCATCTGCTAGAGGGCCTGGCGTCTGGAAGGCACACAGCCAGTGTCTTTAGAGGAAAGGAATGAATGTGTGAATCCTGCCTGCCCTGAGCCCCTCGTTCCCGGTGCACTGTTCGTGAAAATGTCAGGACCCTGGGTCGGAAGAGCAGTGTAGGAGGCAGAACCTAACTCCTTTGAGCCCCAGCTTGGTTAAATCTCGCAGCTTTTTGGGCCCTGCTGGGTCCCCTCTTTTAGGACAAGAATGGTTGTTTTGTTTTTAAGATTTTAAAAATTTATTTGAGCTGGGGAGAGACAGAGAGAGTGCACACGCCCACGAGTAGGGGAGGGGCAGAGGGAGAGGGAGAAACAGACTCCCTGCTAAGCAAGGAGCCCAAGGCGGGGCTCGATCCCAGGACCCCGAGGTCGTGACCTCATCCAAAGTCAGGTGCTTAACCAATTGAGCAATGCAGGTGCCCCAGGACGAGGGCAGTTTGATGAGGGCAGACCATCCACAGCGGGGCACGTTGGTGGGCCTGGCTTCCTTCTCAGACATCTCCGTACTCTTCCTCAGAAATTCTATAGGGCCATTGCTCAGAGACCCTAAGCCTGGCCTGTACATGTGAGTTAGCCATTGACTTATCCTCAGTCTTCTTCCAGAGAGGATTTAAGGCGCCTCTAAGTATGTGTACGTTCCAACAGAATGAAACAGAAATGGAAATAGTATTAAGGAAGTGTGCATAGATGCATGGACAGGGATGGTCGCTGTGGCCCTATTATATAGAGTAGAGGAAAGTCAGGAAGAATCTAAATATCCAACAGTAGGACGGTTAAATAAATGAACTGCGGCCCATCCAAACACATCCCATGTCCAACTGGGGGTGCTAATATGGAAGGATTCATTGACATGGAAAATTGTTCATAACATAGTGTAAGAGTGTTGAGGAGCTCATTTTATTTACATGCATGGAAGGATGTCTGAAAAGGGTGTATACCCCCCAAAACATGAATATCACTTTTTCTAGGGGAGGAATTAGGAGTGATTCTTACTCCTTTTGTTCAACCACGGCTTCTGCAGTTTCTGGTTTCCCCCCTCCGTGAACATGAGCTCTTACGTAATACGGAAATATAATGTACGAAACAGAATATGGGTGAGGAAAATGGGGAAAGGTGAAAATGGGGGTTCTATTCTGCGTTGAATTTGTTCGAAAATGTATTATTTAAAAAAATAGATCCTAAGCGCCAGTTCGTAGGGTTACAGCCCAGTGGGTATATTTACATGAAGCAGGCAGTTATTAAATGTTTGAGAGATGGGCTGACAACACTAGGGTTTGAAAGCTCATGAGCCAGCTTTTGTTAAATTTCAGCCTGTACTCGGGAAGTGAAAGTGAGTAAGGGTGCAGTCTCTGCCTTGTTTTGAATCGAATCCGACAATGACCCGCCCTTCACACGTGGGCTGCAAATAGCCTGTGAGTGTTGGATAATGATCGTGCAAGAGAGGATCCTAAAATCGTGTGTTAGGGCTGGGCGGCTGGGGTGCGGGGATGGGAATACGCGCAGGTGCACACACACCCAGGAAATCTAGCGCAGAACTGGTACTTTGGTCCCAGCCTCCATGCGTAGGCGCCTCCGTGGTCTCCCTGCTTCCCCCCATGGCCTGTTCATGAACCTGAAGTTAGCCATCCTCCCCGCGATCTGGCCCACGTCTCGGATCTCACTGCCTGGCACCTCAGCCCCTGTGCACTCTGCTCCACAGCAGCCACGCTGGCCTTTTCAGGCTCTTTTTGCATTTCCAGTTTACCCTGCTGGAGCATTTCTGCCTTCCTTGAGGCTTGTTTCCCCACCTCCTGTGGTCTCTGCTGAATTGCCATCTGATTCCCGAGTCCTTTCTTGGCACTCTATACTTTCTGCTCCAAAGCCCTCCCTGACTTCATTTCTCTTCATAGGTTTAATCAGTACATATTTATTTGTTTGCTGTTTGTCTGCCTCCACTAGAATATAAATTCCTCCAAAGCAGAGACTTTGTTGCTTTTCTTTCGTTCTTTTTTGAAAGATTTTATTTATGAGAGAGAGAGAGTGAGAGCATGAGCAGGGGGAGGGGCAGAGGTAGAGGGAGAAGCAGACCCCTGCTGAGCAGGGAGCCCCATGGGGGGCTCAATTGAGATTGAGCCCCTGGGATCATGAGCTGAGCCGAAGGCAGACACTTAACTGACTGAGCCACCCAGGTGCCCCTGCTGCTTTTCTTTACTTCCGTTTTCTTGGTGTTCAGTGCTCCAAGTAGGTGCTCAATAAGTATTTGAAGGAAGGAATGGACTTCAGATATCATGTGACTGATCTTCCTCATTTGACCAAGGAGGTGCCTGGAGCCCTACAGAGAAAGCTTCCACGCCTTGGCCAGGGTCACACAGCTGGGGCTGCTGGGCTAGATCCTGCCCTGTCCCTTCTGCTCCTGCATCTGCCTGTGCCTTGGAAGGGAGATTAACCACACACACACACAGAGGGGCCGTGGCCTCGTCCATCCTGTCTCCTGTGTGTTTTTCCAGCTTATACAGAATTTCAGCCCAGAATAGCAGAAGAAAAAAAAAAAGAGTTGTTCCTCCAGAACCCTGGAAGCTCTTCCGGTGGGTCTGTCCCTGGAAAAACAGCAGCAATCTCAGGGTGGGAAGGTAGGAAATGGAGGAGGGGGGGTCTTACAGCAGTGGAGGCAGTGGGCTGGGTCTGTTATTATTAAAATAACATCTGGGTCTGTTTCTGCAGGGTGGTTCTGGAAGGTGGGTGGTCTGTCTGAATTATCAGGTGGGGCCTTCCCCCGTCCTGGCCCAGGAGGGTGTGAGACGGCCTGTGGCTAAAGGGCTCACCCAGCAGATGACGTGTGAAGGACGGTGGGCCCGAAGAAGGCTCTGGAAACCCCACCTGCCGCCTGCCCTGAAAGCCTGCTGCTCTCCCGTGGCCTCATCTTCAGCCACTTTCCCCGTGCCTCCACGCCTCCTTGAGATCGTTCAGACGCCCCTTTGATGCGTGGAGAGCTCTGGCCTCCTCTCTCTCATGCCCCATGTGGTTTATTAATCGTCTGTGAAATGAGGAGTTGAAGTGTCACTCATCCATACGAGGGCAGTGGGGCCCTGAAGCCGCAGAGTGGAGTGGGGAAGGGACTCCGAGGGCTGCTCCAGTCTTCTGAATCCTGTCCCTCTGTCTGTCTGGCTTCTCAGATGCAGCTTTTGGATAAGTTTCCCATCGAAGGTGGCCAGAAGGACCCCAAGCAGAGAATCATCCCCTTCCTTCCAGGTAAGCTTTGGGGGGCCCCACTGTTGGGATGGGAGGCAACCGGGGAAGCAACATTTCTTAGGCCAAGAAAAGGCTGGCTGCTACACTGGAAATTCTGGGCAGGGTAGGAATATGAGTCTACCTCCTAACAGCTCCCCAGAGGAGGGGAAGCCCCCAGCTGTGAAGGCCACTGCCCCCGCAGGGGCCTCTCCCATCATCCCCAGGCCATCTCTACTGGCCACGTAACTTCTAAGGAATTTCTTAGGTGTTGGGACTGTGGTTTCCTCTTTATGGAAAGCGCGGGAAGATCAGTTCTTCAGTGAAAGGATGAAGAACTCCAGGCTGAGCTCTTCCCACTAATCCCATTGTAATCACAGACACCCTTAAACTGAGCACACTCCCCGTGTCCGATTTTGGATCCTCCTGGCGCGTTACCCAGCCGAGGTTCCGAGAGCTTATGTGACACGGCCTGTGGGTTGGCAGAGTTAGGATTTGAACCCAGATGTGTCTGGCCATAAGGCGCATTAACCACTACATCATTTGGGAACATGTATACAGCAATGGGTCACATGTAATGTAGAGAAAAACCTGCTCAGATGTGTCCTAGTCTGCTATTGCTAGGACATTTTAAATTGGTGTACAGTTTATAGCTGACAAAGTACTTTTTGTTATCATGGACAAATCTCCATGCTGTGGGGTGTGTTCTCATTTCTGCTTGGGGGTTGAAGATGTTGGGGTACAGAGATGTTGGGTAACTAGTCATGAAGGTGGCAGAGCTGAGGGGTGAACTTTGGTCTGCTCTAGTCTGGGTTCTTTGCCCTGAACCTGGGGGTGATGCTGCCTCCCGGCTCCGGATCCCCTGTGTTTCCCCAGACCGTGGAGCTGGGCTGCGTCACAGTGGTCCTCGCCCCCGCCCGCCGTTACTGCTGGACCCTGGCAATGGCAATCAGTGGGACCTTTGCAAGAAGCAGGGTCTTTACCTCATTAACTCTCTGGCCCACCTTCACCACATGGTCAGCACCTGCTTAGTGACTTGCAAACACACCCAGGGGCCCTGCCCTCTGAGAATGGGTCCTCTCTGAAAGGTGCTCCTCCCAATCTCGTGCTAACATTGGAGAGAATTTGTTTAGCCACAAGGAAGAACTTCCACATCCCAGTTTGGGCAAGATTAGAACAAGTCAGGGAAGGAGCAGAGAATCTCCCCCCTGTGCTACTTCCGTGGAGGCAGAGGACTGTTTGTCCATCCCTGGCCAAGGGGGTCACATAGGGGGCTTTGATGCCCTACCTGGCTTTACACTGAGTCCTGAGGGAATCTGGAATTGTCCGACACCCGGGTGTGTGTGAGCTTCGAGGTTGCTCCAGTATAGTCCGGGTGCTCTGCCCAGCAAGGGCTTGGGAGCCCAGCTGCGATGCTGTGGACACAAGTGTCCCAGAGCCACCACGAAGCCAGCATGGCACCCTGGTATCAGGAGTGGACTTGGCCTTGGGGGCATGAAGGCTGCCTGTTTCCTTGAGAACGTTGGGCTTTTTCCCCCGCTGGTGGCCAGTGCTCCAGGGAAGTTCCACCTCGTCATCATTTGGTCAGAGGGTGCTTACGGGGGGCTCAGCCTGGGCCAGACCCGGGAATCAGCAGCTGCAGCTGCAGACTGGGATGGCCTAGCAAGCCAAAGAGTGAGGTAGGTTTGTTTCCTTCATCTGAAGAATCCTCAAGCTACTAGGAGAGATGAGAGAGGCAAGACCTGCTCCCTGATGCGGGAACTGATGTGGCAGGATGTGACATCTCCACCGCCGTGCAATTCTGAGTGTGTTTGGAGTGTGTCATTGTGAGCTTAGGAAGGCGGCGAAGGCTTCCTAAAGGAGGGGGACCTGGAGCTGACCTCCGAGGACAGGTGGGCTTGGATCATGGAGGGGAATCCCAAGGCTCCTGTCCGGCTGCTACTAGAGTCCAGTGTCTGGGGAATCATGCTGCCTGACTTCCTTCCCCCCGACAAAGTCTGGCTTGTATCAAGTGCGTTACCTTCTTTATGCCTCAGTATTCTCACCTGGAAAATAGGCATGATAACAGTATCTACTTCATGGGGCTGTTGTCAGGATAAAATGAATTAATACATTACAGGGGCTTAGGACTGTGGCTGGCCTCTAGCAGGACTTAAATAAATGTTAGCCCTTAAGGTGACCAGTTCCTGACACGTGTCTGGTGTTTCATACAGCACACTCACTCATGTGATCTCATTTGCTCCTCCCACTGAGGTTATTATCCCCATTTTACTGACAAGGAAACTGAGGCCAAGGGAGGCTAATAGACTTGCACAGGCCACACAGCCAGGAAGTGTAACCCACACCAGAACCTCTGGCCAGGGCTCCTGCCCCATCAGCCACCTCAGGGGAGGATACCCCAAGAGCTGCGGCAGGACTGGGGTCCTCTCTGAACTTCAGTTTTCTCTTACAGGCTTGTGGTGAGGATGAAAATAATTCATGGGAAGCACTTTGCACAGTGCCTGCCCTGTAGTAAGTGCTTAATAAGTGGCACCTATTAATAGAGAAAGTCACCTGCCCTATCCATCCCCAGCTTCCGGGAAAGGCCAGCCCAAGATCCCTTCCACCCCCGACATGATGGGCCCTGTGCACAGTGGGGAAGGAAGTTGACTGGCCCCCATCGCATCCAAAGGAAGTTTCCTTTCCCCTGTTTTGCTGCTTTTCTCCTCTGCTCACAGTGGGTTTTCCTCTCTGAGGCTTCTCTCTTGCTCATTCACTTTTCAGGACTTCAGTGTGGGCATTGCTGGCCGTGTGGAATCCCACCTGGAGGGCTCCCAGGCCTGTTCCTGGCTTCCCCCTGCCCTCTAGACACTTCCTAACCCTTTCATACTCTGCTCACTCCCTCACTTGAACGGCAGGTAGAGGGCATGCCTTCCCTCTGGCATGAGCTCACAGGCTCATGGCCGTGAGCCCCCAGCACTGAACACTGGCAGCAGTGAGGGGTGGGAACACGTACTGGTGAGGGGCTCTGGGCAGCAGCCAGCACCTACTCAATTATTTAACACCAGTGAATTCTCTGTTTCTACCCGCCTGCCTCTCAGAAGGGTGTCTGAGGTCACCTGCCCATTCCCTTGGGTTCAGCCCTGGCAGCGTGGCTCTGCAGCACCCGGGACAAACACACAAACTGCCCTCCCACCTAGAAGCCTCTGGAGGGCCGGCAACCAGCCTCGGGAGCGGCTCTGCCAGCTCTCGCGGAGCAAGGAACAGCCACAGGGAGAGAGCAAGAGCGCCGATTATTCCAGAAGGGTCTCAGTGTTAGCCTCAGAGGCTCCAGGATGTGATGGGCCTGGCTGCAGGCTCGGGCAGGGGGTCCCAGGAGTTTGACTGGCTGGTGCAAATGACAGAGAAGGCAAAGGAATTGAGAGCAAAGAGGGAAGCCATGCCTTCACAGGGCCACAAGCTCCCTCATCTGCCAGTCAAATCCTGGCCAAGAAAAAAAATCCCACATGTGAGCCATAAATCTTAGGCTCTAGGACACAGGCTTGTGGTATGTCTGGGTAGTGTCTGGCCTGAGTTCAGGGTCAGCCTGTGGGTGGGAAGACTGGTGAGGATCTGGGCCTTCTGTGGCCAAAGGCAGAGGCCCCATCCCAGAAGACTGAGTGTTGTGCAGTATGGCTGGAGTCACAATTGGGGCCAGACGGCTGGGAGCAGAGTCAAGAAGGTGAGGACAGAGAGCCCATGCAATGACCAGGCTAGTGGTTTGACACCTGCCTTCAGTCAGATCCTAGATAAAGGGCTACAGGGGAACTGTCCTCAGTGAGGACCCTGCCGCCAAGCCCAGTTGTTTCTCCCAGTCTGAACCCACTGTCTGGGCCTTGGGGTGAAGATCCATGATGCCTGGACCCTTCCTTCTATGTGTTTGTGAGGCCCACAGAGCCGTCAGGAGGGACATGGAGAGTTATGACCTTATGTGGGACAGGTGCTTCTCTCCAGCAAGGCAGCTCTGGAAGGAAAACCCAAGCAGTTTTTGAGGCAGGAAGAGGCGGAGAATTATGCCAGGGCCTGAGGCCTTGGGAGCAAGGGGGAGGGGAGGAGGGGAAGTATCCCTCCAGTCTCACATCATGTAGGGTGAGGCAGATACCCCGGCTGTTTTTGCTGAACTTCATGGCCTTCCTTGGAGACAAGGCCCCTATCTACTCCTCCCGCATTTCCGTTGCAGGGCTGGACACAGAGTGGCTGCTTTATTTGGACCCCCCCCCCCCAGGTCTGATCAGGAATTGGACATTCTCCATTAGGTATGAGCTCCCTTTTATTGAGTTCCTACTGTGTGTCTGGCCTTGTGTTGGGCACTCTACAAACCTTTCCCAGTCCTCACTGCAGGAATGGGGGCATTATCCCATTGTAGAGAGAAGGAAAGTCACATTCCCCCACCCCTTAGGCAGTAAGTAGGGGAGCTGTCATCCTTCCTCTGTGGCCTGGACCTTTCCTTGGACAGGGAGGAATTACGCCAGCGAGCTTCAGCTAGAAGCTTCCCTCCGCCTACTTTGTTGCCTCCACATTCCCCAGGCTAGGGACCTGGGAGTTTCTGCCTGAGGACCCAGCACCCTAGCTGTCCCTCCAGCTGCTACTTGCTGTCTTGTGTTTTGGGAAAACACCATGTGGGGCAGGGAGGTGCCCTGACCCTCATGGGGACTCAGAAGACCTGTAAGGACTCATTCTATTAAGTGCCTGAGGTCACTACAACTGAAGAATTGATTTTTTTTTCCACGTAAACCATTTAGTTTATTATTATTTTAACATGATTATAAACAGCATAACCCCAAAGCTTTCAGAGCACTGTCTTCATTTAATTACGAGTCTAACGAAATTGCCTGTTTGGTTTCCTAAGTCCCAGCATTTTTTTTTTAACTTTTTATTTTGAAATAGACTCCCAAGACATTGCAAAATGACGAGGCACTCTACATTCCGCCCCTCCAGTTCCACTGCCACACTGGAGGGTAGGTGGCATTGTCCCAGTTCAAGGAGAAGTGAGGTCACTTTCTGCC